AAAATGCGATAAAAATATTCTGAAATTTCCCGCCTTTTTCGGCACTGTTGTAATTCGGCACTGTTGAACGCCCCCGTGTTGTATCGCAACTGGTGCGAAGCTCCGCTTCGCTTCTGTACTCTATAGCTTGCGGTAAAACTTACAAGGTCGAATCTGATTGGCTTATATTGATTGACTAATTTTGCCCTATAATTTAAGCGGTCAAATCTGATTGGCTAAAATTGATTGACTATTATTGCATATGGGTGCCGGACATCAAGTTGACGGGACTTCAAGCCGAATCGTAAAATTAGGGACTTCAAGCCGAATAGTTCCTTATAAACTCGTGAAAAATGATAAATTTGCAAACTTTTTTCAAGAATTTCTGAATTTCATGATTTTCTTCACAAGCTTTTGTCGATTTCATAAAATTTAAGCCTCCAATGATGTTTCGGAATGTTGAAAAGTAAAACATGGTTGAGGGCATTTTTCATGCTTATAATTTATGCATTTCAAAAACCGGCTGATGTTATTAACGGATGTCAATTACAAGTGGTGCATTGTCATGAATAACGTTTATTATGGACTAAACTTGCCAAAATTTTTTAAAAACAAAGTTTTACAGATGATAAAATAGTGTTTTGAGGTGCTTGTAAAGTTTTATTTTCGGCTAGAAGTCCCTTCGGCTTGAAGTCCCGTCGGCTTCTTGTCCTAGACCCATTGCATATATCATCCAAGCCTACTTTGCCAGTCAGATTCAACCACATTCACTTCTGTTCAAGATGTAGAAATGATGTATCCGAACCGTTTAGTGCATTAGATCCCCTTCTTTCCGTGAAAGAACGAACTGAATTTTTCATGAAGCTTTTCTTCTGCCTCTCTCAAATTTGATTAGATCAACATACTGCGCTGGTAGCGGATTATAATTATCTGAAGACAAAAAATTGTAAATTTCTGAAAAAAAAGTTAGCGCTACAGTGTTAAAATTCCAAAAAGTTACTGGTAATCGGCACGCGGTCGTGGTTTTATGAATAAATTACAAGTTTGAAGCGATCCGGGTTGGGACCCAACGCAGGTCAAAGTTTGCAAAGTCTAGACATAAATATGCAAAATCTGCGCATTAGTCTGCAAAGTCTGAACATAAGTCTGCAAAGTATGTAATTAAGTCTGCGAAGTCAAAATTTTGTTAATTTCCTTAGCCTTTAAGTCAATTAATTGCTCTACACGGTATGAGACCGGAACCTTTCGGTCCACAAGCTCTAAAATCGATTTTGGCAGGGTTTTGTTAGCTCAACAAAGTTTTTTTAGGTGCGTGCACTCAGCAGCACAAATATCTTAAGCAATTGGTGGCAAAGGATTTGAAACACATCAAATTCTGTTTTGCGTTTTCATTGTCAATATCTAAACTTCTCGTTTTCAGCAAACGGTTATGCTAAAAATCTTGGGAAGTTACAGTTTTGTTGATTCTCGCTTCTTGTTTTGATCTGATCTAACGAAATCCTTTTCAGATGGAAACAATGATTTTTTGTTCTTTTAATACAGGATCGAACATGCTAAGTATTGGTCCACACGGTGCGAACAAAAAGTTATGACCTAGACCCGGGTTTTTCCGAGAGACTGGTTCCAATTTTTTTTCGAAGTTTCACCTCTATATCTGTCTAATGTAGACTCGTTACTCCAGTTGATTGCCATAACCAAAAATGTTTTGCAGTTTATTTAGCCTCGCAAAAGTTTTGCAACTTTTTGAATAAGGTTTTGTCGGTACTATTTAATCGAGCGGATTTTTTGTGAACTTGTCTGTTTTTGTAGGGAATAGTTTATCAGATTTTGTCTGAATTTTAATGTTTGTGTCCTTGTCGAGTTGTCTGATGTTGCCAGTCAGGTTGTTTTCTGATGGGTGAAGCCCTCTTAATGGGCCCCTTCACAAGTTCTGCCAATTCCATTTCGGCGGAGTTTATCTTCCTCAAAGTTGTGTTTCTCAATTGCTTTGTAATTATTTCATTTATTAGGTTTAAGCAATGTATGGAGGCATAAATTTCCCCGGGAAAATCACAACTGAAGGGAATCTTGTTTAGAGAAAGCAAAACTGCACTTTCGTTTGATTTATCTACCCGCTAAGTGTTGCCGAATATTGAATAAAACATAGATGTTCTCATTTAAATCCCGCACGTTCGGGTTTTAAAATGAGAACATCTATACTCTACCCAATACTCGGGAAAAACTTAGCGGTTAGACAAATCACAGGAGTCAAAAATTGCTCTCGCGTTCGTTTTTCTAGAGTTTTAACTTTGTTAAAAAGATTCTCCAGCGGAATTCTAGGTCTCTAATCCTTTCAAGTCAAAGGAAGGTTGTAGGAGTCTGAATTTATTTCCAACGCGTTTTTTGGCGCCATCATTTTGTTGTATCTGCTTTCACCTCTATTATATGCTCCTCAGTTTTTAGCTGTCTGTTAAAAAATAGACTTGCCTTGTGCAAAATTTGTTTTGCCTCGCTATAGTGCTGATTCAAATTATCCGGACGAAAGGCATCAAACTAGAAATTTAAAACAATTTTTCTCAAATTGCGTCGATTTTTAGTAACAAAATGAAAAAGAGAAAACTTACTTAAAGTTCTAGCAAATTTATAATGATGCAATTTGTTTTGCGAAATTCGGGCCCATTTTTTTATCTCCAAAACGGATCATTTTTGTGTTTTTTTGTTCAATCCAAAGTTACCAAAAAACTACGTGGTCAATTACTGTCAAAGTTATATCAAAGTGAGCCTCGTACGTAGCCAGACAAGCTTTAACACGAGTGTACCCTCCAAAAACTTGCGTAAAATGTTTAAAAAAAATTTTTAAATTTATAAAATTTGCTTCATATTGTAATAACGATCTTTTGTCTATCAAACGGAAAAAAATTAAATAATGCTTTGGAAAGTATACTCAACTTGAAGTTTGTTGGGCCACGTAAAAGGTTCACTTTGATATGAACATTTCAGTGATCAATCAAGTAGTTGGTGTAAATTTTAAGCTTTCACATAAAACGTAATCTGCAGTTGACATAAAGGGTGACATCGAAGGTTTTCCATAGTGGTGGATTTTGAACTTTTAAAAAATAGATAACGAAAACTAAACCAAATTTTGTTCAAAAAACAGGCCAACAGTTTAAAACATCGAACTTCAAACTACTGACTGTTTATCTGCTTGCAGAAACGCTTCACTTCTCTCGGTTCAATAGTTTCATTTAATAATATGATTTTTCGAATAAAAAGCATTGAAAGTTTGTGATTTTAGAAATTGATCTGTGAAACGATCTGTGTTTCTTGATTTGTGAACGATACTATTTGGGCCGTCAAACTAAAATTTTCAACATTTTGCTTTGAAATTTTCCCATCCTATGCAAATGAGTAGGACGGGTTTTTTCTTCTCGACCAATAAAAATGCTTCTGTCGACTCACTGTGACTAGTCAATTTTGAGCTTGAATTTGATACTGTTGGACAATTAGTTTGGGAGATCAACAGACATAGTACAAAATTGCCATTTTTTTCCAAGAGGAAAAGAAATTCTAAATTGTGTAGGTGAATTGGCTGAAAATCAAAAGCTGGCCTTTTTTTGCAAAACTCTGCTTCTAAAGTTTGCATTGTAAAATTAAAAGTATGTCAGTAGGTTAACTGTATTTGATTATGATTATACATAAAAAAGTAATAGAAACAATTTTGTGTGAATGTATATAATTATCTATTAAAAAATGCTTGTAAATGATTTTTATGTGTGCGTGTTTGTATGCAGTTTGATGTGTCTGTATGTATAAGTGTGTTTTTTGTGTGCTTGTGAAACCAAATTAAGTATAACTAGAAGAGGAACGATAACCCAACTTGATTTGTTCTATTGTTTCTAGTTTTTCTTGGAAGTTTGACAAGACACATTATACATAGTATATATGTACGAATATATGCTGTGCGTGTGTGGGTACCAAGGACAGATTTTGTATCTATGTACAAGTGTGCAGCTTTTGCATGTATGTATGTAATTACGCATATTTGTACATACTTGTCGTGTGTATTCATTTGAGTAATTATATTTTTATGTTTATTTGTATGTTTTTATGTAAGTAAGAACTCTTGATTGCTTGTCCGCTTGACTGAGTGGATGAGTATAAAACTATTTTTGGATGAATGTATGACCTAAGACTAAAAACATTTAAAAACTTGCTTGTTTGTGAATTTGTACGAGTTTATGATTGAAATTGTATGTCTGTTTAGAAGAAGAGTGTGAACACATCAGTAGCTGCTTGCTCTTAAAGTACGATCCAGGTCTGTTTGTAGGTAAGCACTTAGGCATAATCGTACGCGAGGAAGAAGGGAATGTCTGTAATGCGTGCTTCTGTTTGTCTGAATGTTTGAATGTATTCGTCTGGCAAGTGTGAATTGAATGTATGCCGATAGTTGTGTGTTTCATGTGCTTGTATATTATCAGTCAGAAGAAAAAATAACTAAAATCTTTGCATTTGTGTAGGTAAAAAAATTTCGTATAATTGATTGTAGCTTTAGCAGTATGTAAGCAATTATTTAAAACTTATCTTTATTTTTGTATGTATGCGCATACTTATGTATGTATGGTAGTTTGTTTGCATTCTACTTATTTATTTGTATATGTATGTTTTTATGAATATATGATTTGTTGTTTATATGTTGGTGTGTATGTATGTAACGACGTGTTTATGTTATTATGTATGTATGTATTTACGTGTCAGGACATTTGTGTCCCAGACATTTATGTCCCGGCAAAAACAGTCCAAAATGCAAAAAGTGTCCAAGACATTTGGTTCCCAGACAAAATTGTCCCAAAATTGTCCAGGCTATTGCCACACTAGTTAATGACCGGATTAATTTGATAAGATCTGAATAGGAGGATTAAATCGATGAGGCCATGCAACTGAGCAATTAGACCAGAAATTACTTCGCGCAGCCAATTAGAGACGAAATTAACACAGGACTCAAAACATTTACACATACCTTCACAATTATTGCTTGATTGATAATGTTGCCAAACGTAGACACGAAAGATCATAATTTCATTGTTATTGCTCTGGAGTTCGTGTTGACACTGGAAATTCTTATGACAATTAAAAACAACGAAATGCTAGTTTATGATGCATACGCAAACTTCAAACATCGGATTCTAACAGAAAGCTCAATTTCGTGGCGATGTGTTTTATCTAAATGTAATGGCCGTGTGCGCACTTTCCAAGATAACGTCACTATCATAAATGAACACAGTCATTTTCCCGATCCAGCCGATATTGAAAAACGAAAATTTAGGACAGCTCTCAAAACAGGAGCAGTTGTTTCAGATGAGCCACCCCGTCAAACAATTCTTTCCGTCCAAAGAGACATCAACAGAGAGACTGCAGCAGTAATCCCGAGCTATTCTGACAACCAGAGGACAATTAACAGAGTCAAACAGGAAAAACGGCTCAGAATGCAGGAACCCCAATCCCTAACTGACTTTGAGCTGGCAGAGTTGCTGAAAGTGACACACAGCGGCAAGCGTTTCCTTCATTTTGACTCTGGACCTAATGATACCAAGCGAATAATGGTATCCACCGCTCTTCCGGGACTCGACCTTCTCAGTGGCGCTGATGATTGTTTCTGCGATGGCACCTTTTCTACGGCCCCGAGTGTGTTCTTTCAGATATACACCATCCATGCTTCAGTCGAGGGAATTCTGATTCCTATTGTGTATGCATTGCTTCCAGACAAGAAAGAAGAAACGTATTTTCGCTTTTTGAGCTGCTTCGACATCGAATGCCCTAAACGAGCCACCATTGATTTCGAAATAGCGGTCAAAAATGCGTTCAATTCAGTATTCAAAAATGTACAAATTCAATACTGTTATTTCCATTTGAGCCAAAGCGTCTGGCGTCCCATTCAGACTACTGGGAACACAAACAACTACAGACTAGATCTGGAATTCCGAGAGCATGTCCGAATGCTGCTGAGTATCGCTTTCGTGCCTGTAAGTGATGTTTCTACTGCTTTCGAAACTCTTCAGAAGACATGCCCTGAGACTGCCCACCCAATCTTCAATTACTTTGAGGACAATTACTTTGGTCGGCTCTCGGCGGCAAATGGAACTCGTCAAAACCCCAGATTTGACGTTGAAAGCTGGAGTTGTCATCAACGTGTAATAACCGGGCGACCCAGAACCAACAATGCTGTTTAAGGTTGGAATAGCAACTTCGTCAAACTCGTGAATGGCAAGTACCCATCATTTCCCAAACTCATAGAAAAATTTCAAGATGAACAGTCAAACGCTGAAATCTTGATCGAAAAAATGTGTGCCGGGCAAAAAGTGTCACGTTATAAGAAACCTTTTTATGTCAAACTTGACAAAACCTTTCAGAGTTAGTTGCAGCCTACGACCCAAATAAACTTCTGAGTTTCCTAAAATGGTGCAGCAGCAACATCAAACTTTAATTTAAAGTCAATTTATTTTCCAAAGTTGAGATTGCGAAGCAATAGTTTTCAATGAATTTTTCTAAGTTGAATTTTTTTCCAGAAAATTTCAAAATTGAGCTAGAACCGATTTGAAAACGGCAAAATGATCAATTTAATCAAGCTTTTCCCATCCTCTTCACTTTTGGCTTAATCAAGTCAATCTATTTCAACTTTGCCGTAGTGTATCCGTTTTGGGTTTTTAAATTGCAAAAATTGACTAAATTACGAAAATTTTTTGTCGAGCCCGAGATTTGAACTTCAAACCTTTTGACCTTGAGACTTATGACTTCATCACTCGGCCAAATGCGCTTTTAAATTTCAAAATTTTCTTGAACGTTTTGTCTCACTTTGACTGTTCTATGGTTAATTGGTACCCATAAAATCTACTGAAAGAACGATCAAACAACCTCAAAAGAAACAAAGCATTAAAGATCACAAGGTCAAATCAAAGAAATTAATTTCGCAAAACAATTTCGGACAATTGTTTCTGGGACATAAATGTCTGGTACAATTTTATCATTTCGGACTGTTTTGTCAAGGACACAAACGTCTTGGACACAAATGTCTACGCACCATGTATTTATGTATGTATGTATGCATGTTTTTCTTTTTATAGGTAAGTATGTATGTTTCTAAGCATGTGTACATCAACAAATTTTTGTATGTTTGTATAAATGTCTTCGAGTAAGACATCATATGTAAATGCATGTATGTATTAATGTGTGTATGTATTCTTGTATGCATTCTTGGATGCATAATTGTATGAATGTCTTTAGCTAACTCTTTATACTTGTTTTTAAATTTTTATGTTTGCGTTTATGTATATATGTATGTATGTATGTATGTATTTATGTATGTATGTATGTATGTATGTATGTATGTATGTATTTATGTTTGTATGTATGTATGTATGCATGTTTGTATTTATATATGTAAGTATGTATCTATTTAAGTATGTGTACATGAACAAATTGTTGTATGTTTGTATGAATGTCTTCAAGTAGGTCTTTATATGAAAATGTATGTAAGTATTAATGTGTGTATGTATTCTTGTATGTATTCTTGCTTGTATGATTGTATGAATGTCTTTAGTTAACTATTTGTGTTTGCTTTTATATTTTTATGTTTGTATGTATGTTTATATGTATGTATGTATGTATTCATGTATGTATGTATTTATGTAAGTATGTATACTTGTATGTATGTATGTATGTATTTGTGTTTTTATGTTTGTGTTTAGTATATATTTATGTATGTATGTATTTATTATGTGTGTATGTATGTGTTTTTGAATGTAAGTTTGTATGAACGTCCTCTTTGAAGTAATTATATGTGTATATATGTATGTATATATGTATGTATGTATGTATGTATGTATGTATGTATGTATGTATGTATGTATGTATGTATGTATGTATGTATGTATGTATGTATGTATGTATGTATGTATGTATGTATGTAGGAGATTATGTATGACTCTATTTTGTAAGTATACATGTAGGTTTATAATTAATGCCGATTTGTTTGTCTTTTTATGTGTAAACAAGTACGTAACTTTATATGTTTTGTGGGTGTATGTATGTTTGAGTATATTTGTAGTCGTTCATTGTTTTAAATGAAAACTTATGTTTTACTGTAACCAAATCTTTTTTTATCTTCCTTCTTAAAAGCTTAGAATAGTCTATAAAAATCAATCAGATACTATCATGATCGTCTTTCTCATTTTCTTGATTTTCAAAACAACCTGAAAGCTTTTTGGAAGTAAGAACACATCAAGTTGAAAAGTGGCATATGCAGCATTATTTTTTTTGTTCAATCTAATGCAGTCAATGATCACGAAAAAAGTACTAAAAGTGTAACAGAAAAGATCAGTTTTCAAGATTTCCAAAAAAATTGTCGATAGAAACAGCAAGCAACAAGACCAACTGCAGGGCAGCAGCCTGGAGTTCAAAGTATTTGATGAATTGTTGCTCATAGAAATAATGATTTTGATAATCAAAATGTCAGAAAAAAATTGGTCTATTGAGGTGAATCAGTGACCGGGCAGATGAACGCCATTGATAGAAGAATGGTAGAAAATGACATGCTGCTGGTAGAGCTGAAGACGATACGCGGGCAACGTTTAAATGACAGGTACTGCGTGTTTGAAGGATTATTGATCAATCTCTAAAAATCACAAGATTTCAATGGTTTTCCCATAAAAATCATACTATTAAATCAAACTTGTAAGCCGAGAGAAGTGAAGCAGATGTGTAATCAGATAAACAGTCAGTAGGCACTTTTTTAAATTCAAGATTTAGTTAGTTCATAAGGTTTTTGATGCCAATGGCTTAGAAAGCTCACGACATTTTTCTTGGAAATAAATATCAAGTGTGACTGCATCGAGGCTCAAACTTTTAACTCTAACAAGATCGAGGTATCCGTGAAAATATAAAAAATCATGCGCAAAACTACTGTTACAGAAAGCGACAGAAAAAACCCCACCATTTTAAAGAGAAGCCCCTTATTAGCCAAAAATGTTTCTACTGTACAGCATCAAATTGTGAACAAGGTTTTTTGGGGGTTTCAGGCATATGTCTCTGTTCCAAAACAGGGGAAAAATCATCAAAAGTACTAGAGTTGACATGACAATTAAGCTAAGCTGAAAATACTCTTTCCAGAAACTAATGCCAAATCGGTCGTCAGCATGACTGGGTTGATTCAGGAATGAACTTTGAGATCATAAATTTGTCTAGAGTAGCTTTCAAGTCTTCATGAAAGTTAAGAAAAAACTGCGCAAAAGTTTGGTACAGAGAGCGACAGAAAAAACCCAAATACTTTTAAAGAGAAGCTTTATGTTGAACAAAACGCTTTCTAGCGTACTTCAAACTATCGTGATTTTAATTTTTAGGGATGTTACAGATGTGTCACAGTTCCATCTTATAGAGAAACCAAGATAAGTTCGAAAAACAAGGGGGAAAAGCATCAAAAGTATCAGAGATGATTTGACAAGTTAATTAGAGTAAATAGCCTTTTTCTGAAAACGGATGCAAAATTGATCTTAAAGATGACTGTATTGAGTCTTGAATGAACTTTGAGCTCATCGAGTTATCTAGGGTAGCCTACAGAGATCCGTGAAACTGAAAAAAAATCATGCGCAATAATACTGTTACGGAGAGCGACAGAAAAAACCCCACTTCTATTTAAAGAGAAGCTCTATTTTAGCCAAATAACTTTCTTGCGTTCTAAAAAAAACAACATGAATATGATTTTAGGGGGTTCAGGCATACGTATTGAGCCTAACTACAGGAAAACCAAGATACGGTCAAAAACTTAGAGGGAAAAGTCATCAAAAGTACCAGTGTTGACATGACAATTAAGCTAAGGTAAATAGATTTTTTCTAAAAACTGACGCCAAATCGGTCGTCAACATGACCGGGTTGATTCAGGAAAAACCTTTGAGCTCATCAAAGTATCTAGAAAGGGAGAAAAAAACGATGCGCAAAAATACTGTTACACATGTCGACAGAAAAAACCCCACTTTTTTAAAGAAAACCCTGTATTAGCCGAAAGGCTTTCTAGCGTTTTTTAGTCTATCTTGAAAAAGTTTTTTAGGGTTTTCAGGCATATGTCTTCAAATTTATAGAAGAACAAGATAGATTCATGAATAAAAGAGAAAATTGATCAAAATACCAATCAAGGGAAAAAATGGTCAGAGCTAGCGTATAAATCTTTTTTCTGGAAACTGACACCAACTGGTTTTCAAAATGGCTCGGTTGTTTCGGTTGTAATTTTTGAGCTCATCAAGCTTTAAAGGGTAGTCTACAAGTATCCGTGAAAATTAACAAAGCATGCGCAGAAATTTGGTTCCAAAGAGCGTTAGAAAAACTAAACTATTTTCAAAAAGAAGCCAAATCTTGAGATACATTCGAAAAACAGAGGAAAAAATAATCAAAAGTACCAGAGTTGACATAGGTTAGGTAAGGTAAAAAGCTTTTTTCAAAAAACGGATGCCAAATAGTCGTTTACAAGGCCGAAAGGATTCATGAATGAGTTTTTGCTGATCAAGTTATCTTGGGAAGGCTACAGGTATCCGTTAAAAAGAAAAAAATCATGCGCAAAAATATTGTTACACAGAGCGACAAAAAAAAACATAAATTGTTTTATAGAAAAGCCGTATACCGAATCTAAATGCATTTTTGGACTATTGCAGAAAAGCGTGAGTATGATTTCTAGTGGTTTAAACATTAGGTCTTCCAACTGATAGAAAATAATTAAGATTGGTAGTTTTGATGATTTTTCTTCATATTTTTCGTATCTTGTTCTCCTGTTAGTTGGAACGCAAAACTATCATTGAAAACCCTTAAAATAAAACTTATGCCCAAAGTAAAAATTTTGCGCATGATTTTTTTTTTCATTCTCACGGATAGTTGTGGGCTACCCTAGGCAAGCTGATGAGCTGAAAATTCATCAATGACTCAACCTAGCAAGGCGCACGATAGCATTACATTGTGCTCGTCCGAGTTTTGTGATGGGGGAAACAATCAAAAATGAGAAGGCCTATTAAAACAAGGTGTGATCGAAACTCATTATACTTAGGTATCCGTTAAATATAAACAATAGAACGCATTCAATACGTGTAAGCAGACACTCATTCTCGAGACTTTGCAACTTCATTCCTTTTTGCCGATTAAGATTTAAGCCGAAAAAACCGCGAATACACTACTGACCTTACAAACCGGATAG